TTCTTAGTTGTTGGTGGAGAAGATTGTTCAGTATCAGCTCCTCCCCTCCCCCCACTGTACAGGATCACTTTTACAGGACCCAAGTAAGTGTCCTTGGTATGAACAAAAATCAAACATGGTGGCAGGAAAAGAAGCCTATCATATAGGAAACCCGAACAAGGAAACATTTAACATAATAGAGTACTGTAATATGATTCTAGAACCTCTTCTACTTCGTGATGGCAAGTAACAGGTTCTCCCCGCCCCCCCAAAAAATAGGAATTTAAACATTCAGGTTTGTTTGATTGTTTGGTTACCTTAGGAAGATAATCACAGCCAAGAAGAATTGCTAATCCGATCAGAGATTCTCTGCTGCAGCCTAGTTTCTCTTCAATAGCAGATATCAAATAGCAGTCAACATGTGGGTCCTATACAGAATAGAGTAGGATAGTAGAGTAGGATCATTTTTCATATGACTACTGCTGATACCACAAACGTTATTGAATAAGTCGGAAAATACTTATTCTAAGGAAAACTGATTTGCCAAGAATTAGGCAGAAATTATGGTGTCTGTAAGGAGGAGCTGAACATCAAAGGTTTCTCAGGATCCATTCAAGCAATGTAGGATGAACAAGTTCAGCGTTTCACCATCTTTCTGCCTGACAGCAGAGACAAGGCATATAAAATAATCATAAATATGTCTACTCAAAATTCGGTCCTACTGAGTTGAAATCTTACACCTAAGAGTATCTAATATTATAGTCACAAAGGGTAAAAAGTGGTGGTGTGGAGGAGTGAAGTCAAAATATTTTTTGAGTAAGACAAAGGGTATCAGAATAGAGATCCAGACTTTTTTTAAAAAACAGAAAGTAGCAAAATTGACTTGTTTGATTAGAGACAATAACTACATATATATTAGTGACTGGAAACCCCTTACAGACTTTTTGCTGAAAAATGAAAAAAATGAACCTGTGACTTGTAGGTTTCATGATTAAAAAGGGTAGACTATGGAAAGAAGGAAATTATGCTGTAACCTTAGAGAGAGAGAAAGGATAAAAGATAAATGTACTTGTAACTGCTAGTTTAGAAGTCCAGAAGCCACTTCTTTATAACTTTTTGTTTTCTTTTCCCTCTTTCTCTTCTCTATTTTTATCTTTCTCTGTACTTTTTTCCCTGCTTACTTATTACTTTCCTTTCCTTATTTTTCTCTTTCAAAATTTGTATTTTTTTATGCTTTTAAAAAATTATTTAATAAAACTTGGATTTTTTTAAAAAAGTAGCACGTATCAATAAATCCCCAGAAAATTACCTTGGAGTTCATGGTAAAATTGCGGTAAACTGTCTGAGCACCATAAAGGAAGATATCTCCATCATTGGTGATGCACCCATCCACATAGCCATTTGCATTCAGGTAAGCACACATTGCCTCTGCTTCTCCAGCTGCTTGAATCCATGGGATTCCCAAGCACTCCAGCAGCTCAAGGCACTGAAATAGTAAAAATCTCAATAGAAGAAGCAATAAGAAATACCATAGGGATGAACAACTCACAGCCTATGGCTGCTCTTCTGCTCCCTTTTTAAAATAATTGGAGCTAGCCAAGACCACACTGGTACAGTTCCTTGACAATTTTCAATGGCAAACTGCATTAAGACTGGGATAGGCTTAATGCATCTAAAATATCCTCCCCCAATACCCACTGAGGTAATCTTCTGGACATCCTCCTTATGTTTTACAATAATATAAAATTGGCAACCACTGCACCCAAAGAAGATCAATGACAAGCAGAGGGCTTTATGTTTCAAATCCTACTGAAACACAAGACAGCATGTTTGATGAAACAGGCAGGACAGCAGCACGTGTCCAATTAATCCAAAAGGAATGCTCTCAAGCAACTCAAAAGTCTGGAAAAATTAGCATTGGTTCAATAAAATATGTTATGAATCCGATACTGCTAGTATTCAGCATCCTGTAAATATAACCCGCTATGATAGCTTGCCTCTTTCAAAAGAAATTTGAAACGGGATCTCCCCATTCTTGCAGTCTCAGGCTTTTCTGATGGCCCAAAGCGAGCTTCCGTTCTCTTCCGCACTGTGCTTGTTTTCAACTTTGGGGGATCACCCTCCATGACAAACACCAGGTGAATCCCCATTAATGTTAAAGAAGAGGCACGAAAATAAAGATTCCTGCAGTAAGAGAGTGAAGTTACTTTTTTGGAAGAGGTTGTTGGGCAACATTTCTCAGTATAAGGTTGACTAAATATATAATACATGTGGTGTGTGTATGCATAAAAACTATGACAACATTTTTATATACCAAGGTATAGATCATGCACATTGCTTATCTGTCACTTCTTCTATCTGACCAGGACTCTGAGATATCTTTCCAGGTGGCCTGATTTTGTGCCACCATTTGTTCTATCCATCCTACCTACAACTGGTAGTTGTACAACTAGTACAAATTTTAGTGATAGCCACTGTCAACTGTATTATTGTTACTATATTAATTTATTTCTATGTACCTTTATTGTATTTTACATACGTTTTAGTTTTATTAACAATTATAGGCTTATGTATTTTTATTGTACAGTTCTCTGGCCTAAAAGCAGTAATAAAATTTAACTTGATCTTGCACATAGGAGAATAAAATGGCTATTATTCTGGCTTACCCAATTCTGTGTATACCATTTTTTCTCCAGCATGTACAACATACAGTTACACAGAACAACCACTATAGGTACAGATGTAAAATTTCATGGACAAGATGGAGATTTTATAGGAAAGTAATCCAGACTAGGATCTAAACCTGACTACATTCTTTAACTTACAACTAAGAAAGGCATGGCCTGTGTGGTGCAATGGTTAAAGTGTTGGACTGGGACTAGGGAAACCCAGATTCGAATTCCGCTGAAGCTCACCAGGTGCCTTTGGGCCAATTGCTCTCTCTCAGCCCAATCTATAGGGCTGCTGTAGGGGAAAATGGGAGGAGGGAGGGCTATCTATGCCACCTGGAGTTCCAGAAGGAAAGGCAAGATATAAATCTAATTAACAGAATAATGGATAAATAGATAATGAAGGTAGTCCTAATAATAAATAGCATAAATATATCCCTTATCTTAAATTTCAACAAATCATCAGTTGATTTATTCCCATACCTAAAATGTTGACATTTTCTCCAAAACTATTAATATAAGGAAACTCTACACACTAATCCTGTATTAGAAGATGCAGAATCCTTTTCCGTGAGCATTCAGAAATTTTGCTCGAGGACTCTTACGGTGAAATAAATTCATTATTCCCCAGGCTGAAATGATACCATGGCTGTACCTTATATTTTGTAAAGCCCCCAAGAGAAGCAATATATCTTGCCTATAACTCATTAATCACAAGCACTGTACCTACCTAAGATGAGGTTTTGTGACTATTCCCATCATCTTTTTAACTGTCTGTGCTTCACACACCCAGAGACTTAAATCAACAGCCAATGTTTTTCCTTTAAGACTGCAGAGAGGGACATGTTGCTTGACAGGTTCCAGGATCTGCCACAGGCTAGTTACTCCCATGGTTCCAAATATTCAGATGCACTACCTGCAAAGATCAAGATAGATAGATGCCACTGGAATTATTTAACACTGCTAAACCAACCACAAATTCTCCAAACAACATACAATCCTGCCCCTCCAGTCCTGCCCAATCTAAAACTTACACGTTGTTATAACATTACTGGCCTATTCCTTATCGTCCTATCCTGTACTTCCCCCACAAGAGTGGTGGCAAAGATTGGGGAGAAGCACAAGATTGAAAATATGAAACTGGGACTTAAAAAAGCACATACAGGATCATACTGATAATGACTAATTTCAAAGGTTGAAAGCCAACATGCGCAGCAAAGAGAACCTCTCTTGAGCTCCATAGGATCCAAAGATTCAAATAATGTCTCTAATAAGACATGTGGCAGTAATTATTATTAATCTCTCTCAAGTTTTTTTTAGCAATGACCACAGTGGCAATTACTATAAAGTTTAAAAATAAACTTAATAGATCAGAGTGGAAGAGGTTATTGCAATCATTTTCCTTCATTATCTAAACTATATTCCAGAAATTGTATTTGCTGCTTGCACTACTGTAGTATTTTTGGTCGTAATTCTAATGTATTCCAATTGTATAATTATTTTAAAACATAGAGCATGCAAATAAATGGCAATTTTACTCTTAAAACTAGTTTCACCCACTAATTTTTGATTTTATAGCACAATCTAGTGCACGTTCACTTAGAAGCAACGCACTGTATTCAACAGAGATTTGTATGTGGAGCAAAAGACTGCAGATGACTTGCTTACTACCTCTATGCCCTGGAACGTTCCCTTCTGCAGATTTTCATTTCTGACTCTTTCTTCCCCTCTTCAATTTTTCTCCCTTTAATGATCCATTCTTCCCTTTAATTTTCTCATTTTATTCCTAACTTAATTCAATAACACCTTTTTCTTACTGTGTTAAGAGTACTGACAGTACTGTTTCCAAGTACAAGGAGAACTAATTCATGTGCTGTTTCTTCTTCAATTCATCCTAGAGAAGTCAGGTGGAATGCAATTTATAGGTCTGTAAGATCCATTGAATTTAATTTCCAAGAGATGCTTTGGAACTCATGGTAATGCGATAAAATGGGCTAAAAACTTTGGTTACAATATACAAATGGAACAATGGGAAATATGTGGTTGAAAGGATTGAAATTTGCATTATGTTATAACCTTAAAGATAATTTTTATAAAAAGATGTATTGTTGGTATATGTCACCAGAGAAATTGTCCAGAAGGTATAAAGGGACCTCAAATTTATGTTGGAAATGTGAACATGAAGGGGCATGCTATCATATTTGTTGGATATGTAAAAAAGCTAGAAAAGTTTGGATACAAATACATATATTAATTCAAAGGATCTTAAGGATTAATATATAATTAAAACTGGAGGCTTTTCTTTTGGATTGATGGACAAATAGTTGCAAAAAAGTCATGGAACTTTGTTTCTATATATGATAACTGCAGTGAGATTATTCTCTGCCCAAAAGTGGAAAGATTAGCCACTACGCACAACGGAGGAATGATTGGTGAAGATGATGAAACTTGTAGAGATGGCTAAACTGACTTCCTTGATCAGAGAAAAGACAATATCTATGTTTATTGTTGACTGGAAACCCGTTAAAGACTTCTTCTGTGAAACAGAACAAAAATGAACTTATGATTTAGATGATTAGAAAAAAGATAATAGAAAAAAGAATTTTTTTTGTAACCATAGAGTAAGAGGTAATTCTGTATTTGTACTTATAATTGCTGTAAAGAAAATTGGAAGCTGCTTCTTTCTATTTCTTTTCATCCTTTTCTTTTTTTTGTACTTTTGGCTTTTTCTCTCATTTTCCTTTTTCCTTTCTTTTCTTTATATTAGTTCTTGTTAGTTTTTATCTTCTCTTTAAATTTCTTCATAAAAATTATAAGACAGAAAAAGGAACTCATGGTAATGCAAACACAGCAGATGCTTTAAGGTGTTGCAGACTAGTGTTACATGCTCCTGAGCGATCTGTCAATCTAAAGCATCGTACAACCCTAATAATTATTTTTTTAAACCAAAAATGGGGACAGTGCCATCTAATGGACCCTTACACATTCAGCATTATACTTACAAGAAGAAATGCATCAACAGCATAATTCTCAGGCGGTGGCTACTGGAGCCATGGGAGTTGCATTATAGCGTAATATTTCTGAATGATACTTGGCTGCATTATAGCAATGAAGAAAGAGTCTGGAAGAGTCCATTTAAAGGCGACAACAACAACAAAAATACCTTCCCTTAGTTCACCGAAGTATACAATTTCACAATAACTATTCAGGATCTTTAACTGTTAAGCCATGCTAAACCATATTAACTGATTGTGTTACTGTTGTCTTATAATTAAGCATCTTTTACTTAATAATGTGGGTACTTGCCAAAATTAACCAGAGTCCACTTGGTCCAGCAATGAGTAAGCAGCATGTGCTCCCCTTCTCTGAATATAGTGAACTCCTATTTCCAGCAGCTCAGCCCAACATGTCCCCTAGTGAGAGATGACGGGAGATACAATTAAACTATATCCAGAAGGCCACAGATTATTCACCCCTACTTTAATCAATCAGAGATCCACCAGTGGATCCCTGTCCTATCCATCTTTTCCTTTCCTTTGTACTGTATATACAAAGAAAACTGAATCTATGAATATGGTTTACATATGTATATCGTCGTAGTATTATCCATCACAGTATCACTACCAGATTGGAGAATAAAATGCATACAGCATAGAGCCATCTCCAATTACTTTCTGCTAGTTTAATAGAACAGCTGTTTAAAATGTTATTTCTGGATTGCAGATAGCCAAGAACTTGGCAGTGCAAAATCCTGTTATTTTCATCGGAAGCAACTCCTACTGTGTGCAGTAATAAGTGAATTTATACAGCAATAATATCTACATCTACCCAAAAGTAAGCTCTAGGTTTGTAAAGGATTGCAATTTAATAGAGAATAAATATAAGAATATTCACTCAGAAGCTCTGATGAGATTACTCCTCCATATAGGTTTGCACTTTACCAGATTAAAATGGGACTTCAGTAAATCTCTTACACTGTTTTTTTTCCAAGTCATTGCCAAGATGCAACTGGCTGATAATGCCTGAAAGAAGTTGAGTGTTTTAAAGGACATGGGAAATGAAACACCAGGACGGAGACAGAGATTCAAATCCTCAGTAAACCTATAGAGTGGCTTTTAGCCTATCACTGTTGTTCAACGTAACCAATTTCATAGGCTTAAGATAAAAAGAGGATGTGGAGAGATCTAAAGAAATAGAAATAGCCAAGAACTTTGGGGCAGGGGTGGCAGATGAAGGCACTGAGGAAATTTATTCTAGTGTCACATGCTCTTCTTAGGAAAAACTTAATCTGTATTAGTAAAACAGCATTCACAGTTTAAAAGAAATTATGAGATACCTCATTTAGGAGGAAATGCCAAAACTTTTTTTTCCCCTTGTATTTTTCAAATCCAAATTTAATAATGAGAATGATTTCTTCGAAGAAATTCTTCAATTCAGTTTTAAAGCCTTATCTAAAACCAAGCACAAAGGCTAAGAAATCTAGTGCTTTTAGCCAAGTGCAAAGGTTCTTTTATTTCAGGAGTTAACGGAACTATCAAAAATATAATAACACTGAAGTCTTCTTTAAGAGACAAATTTCTCAACTTCAGAGTTTCTCTTCCTTGTGCTATTCAGATCCTGGTCTTGTTTATGCTGCAGATGGTATTAAAATCTATAAGTCTTTTTTTTCCTAAACCTTTTAGCTTTGCTTCTTCTGGAATAATTAATTTTCACATGGTCTAGTGGTGAAGGCTCCAGCTAGGAAGCAGGAGGCTGTGAGTTCTAGTTCTGCCTTAGGCACAAAGCCAGCTGGGTGACTTTGGGCTAGTCACTCTCACTCAGCCCACAATGTCAGACTCAGGTGACAAGCCGGTCAGTCAATTCCTGTCGCAACCAATGGACCAACATTTGATTGATCTGAACAAAGCAGACCCTACACATGCGGAAAAACTCTAGGAAGAAGAAAAAATCACATGGTCATGTAAATAATAGCACATCAGCATTTGAAACTTCTCATATGTTTAGGCTCCAGTCTTATGTATGTTTTTCTTTGAACAAGGCCTACTAAACACAGCAGAGCTTATTTCTGAAAAAGAAAAAAAGAAAGCTGTCTAGTAGTTAACAATCCCTAATATGTCTGTCAATTTTCTATGGTAAGACATATAATAATATTAAGAGCCCCACTTGATTAATCTAGTGATCCATCTAAACAAGTATCTTGTTTCCCAAAGTCATTATTAACTAGAAAATTCACAAGGAGAATTGCTCCACCTTCTCCCCCAGCAGCAGATAGTGAGATGTCTCTCCCAAACATAATGGTTCCATTTCAACCTCATGATTAACAGTATCTGATAAATTTGTCTTTCACTATAGATTTGTCACAAAAGTTTTTAACTATTTAAGCTAACAACAATAACCACACATGCAAAATGATCTGACATGAGAAGATGTGTTTGTGTATAGGCTGTATTGCCCTTTTATTCAAGATCACTAGAAGATCTTAATTCTATGATTTTGGAAGGGAAAAAAATCTACTTTTTGCAAAACACGCAATCTGGTCTAGTTCAATCATATTTTCAACCACCTTTTTCTAAGCCAAAATGCTCCAATCATTTAGCCATTTCTTCACCCATTCATTTGGTGGTCCTATCTGCATCTTTATCATCATATGCTGTTTTCAAGATGAGAGAGACAAGCAGAAATGCAACAGAATGGAGTCTACAACTGTAGTTTTTTTTAAATAAAAAAATCAGTCTCAGCTTTTTACTTTGCTGGTCATTCTGCACTCCCCACCTTGTTTTTTTAATCTAGTTTTATTTTAATGCTGCATTTTATTTTACTCTATTTTTAGTGTATCTATATTTTTATTCTGTGAGCAGCCAAACAACATGCTTGTGTATTTGTCATGGCTAGCCAGGTTGAGGGCCTGGAGGCTGTGAATGGACTTTTCCACTAAGAACTAAGGCAAGCAGGAACTTCCTAAGAAAAAGGTAAATTAGTCACATGATGACTAAAGGGGGGAAAGGAACCACAGGTTGACCTAAGACAGAGCTTTAGCATGATTAGCATAAGTAAAAAATGCACCCAGAGGTGGGAAGCTTAGCTAATGAAGTGCACCCCCCCCCCCACGGAAGTAGATAAAACTGCCTAGCAAAGTGATGTAAAAATAACCTAGTTTCTTGTAACCCATGAAACAAGAACCAATAAAAGGGTTTAAAAATATGCTACAAGCTGTGTCTTGGCGCGCTGGATTTGAACTTGGGTCCCAAGCGTACCTCTTTACTTCTGCACAGAAATAAAGAGTTTAGATTCCAGTTTCCTCGACTCTGCATGATTGGCTCATCGCGCTGGGCGAAACAAACCCAGTTTTGGGCTGGGCCAACAAAGTAAGCACCTATATGCTTCTATTGAATTAGAAGGTATACACAGACCAGTAGGTATAAGAGAGGCATGGGATAAAACAGGAATATGTGGGATGTAGCATGAGGGAACACTGTTGACCTGCCTGCAAGCTTGCTCCTGCACCCACACCTTCTCTGCTCCCTGACCTGTCAGCCAGGGTGTTTCTGGATGTGGGACTACTGATCTTCTGGAAGATTGGCATTCCCCCACCACAAAGACTTTTCCCACATTCAATAAGCCACTTCTGTCTCAAGTTTATCTGTATGTACCCACTCCTGTCCCATTACATATTATGGAGAGCAACATATAACTTTTTCTTGCCAGTAGCTGATACTGAGTGGGATGGGAAAGGAAGCTAAGGAGTCCATCAGGCACTGATGTGGAACTGTCCTGCTTTACATTTCTAAGGACTGCACTTCTCCCAGGCCTTGATACTGAAGCACATCAAAGCTCAGACATGGGGCACTACTATTCATGACAATATATTTTTTTGCTGACTTGACAAATGTACTAATGTGGCTGTGAGGACATATCCTAAATCTTTACAAATTGAATATCAGTTGCTGGGCTTAAACTGTATTTTATTAGCACATTTTTTCTTTCTTTTAACCTTGCTCCTGTCTCCCTATAACCTGGGGAGGGATGGGGGGGGAAGAGAAAAATGGTATTGGCAATGAATACCAATAAATTACTGTTGCATTCATCCTGGGCTGTACTAGTTTGGTGGGCAAGTCCAGTGGTGATGAGTGGATGAGAGACATCAACCCTCCTTGCAGAAGCTCTATAAATGTTAATAAATATATAACTCCATAAAGAGAGGGCTAGTCACTTATATCATATTACACAACAGTCAAATTACGCCCCAAGGATATACTAGCATTTTTGGAGGGGGGGGAGAAAAAGAATGATAATCAAAGGCTTTAATTCATTTAAGTGCAAATATAAATTTATTTAAAACATTTATTTAAATTTAAATGCAAATATAAATTTGCATTTAAATAAATGCAAAAACATTTATGTAAATGCAAATATAAATTTAATAGTCCTAATCTTTGTGTAAATGATCTATGAATCACTGTAATGCATATTTTCCTGGGAACTGAATAGGGCTTATTTTTAAGTAAGGATATTTACATCCAATCCCACACCTATTTAGAAATAAGTATGATTGTTTTCAACAGGATAAATCAGTACAAATTTAAGGAATGTTTACTTTTGTTCTAAAAGCACAGCTATCTTAAGCAAAAAATGTATTTATATTGTACCAATAAACAATATCAGTGAAGGTTACATTGCTTTGAACTGTATGGTTCTTCCTCATTCCTGTTAACACAAATAGTTACAGAACGATAAGCAAGATTGAGAACCACTTAAAATGCTTTTTTTCAAACCTATATATGTGCGCGGCTTTCTGAGGCCATAGAGAAGCGCAACCTTAGAGAACACATGAAAACTGCAGCCTTAAGATCGTCCTGAAAAGCAATTTTTATATTTCGCTGTTGCTTAACCTTATTATTCAATTTTTCTTCTCTGCATCGCCTACATGCTCAAGCGAAACTGGCAATTCTTATATCAGATGCAACGGATTCTATTTCACAAAGGATATCCTATGATTTTTATGTTCGCCTTTAGACATGCAATCCTATGGACGACTATTCCAGTCTTCTGACATCCAGTGAGACTCAACTCCGAGATAAGTATACAGAAACTGCACCGAATCAGACTCAATCAAAAAACTCTTGAGATCTCTACAGCAAGGCAAATCTTCCTCCCAGTAAGTACCTCACCACGACGGCCACCCGCCTGTTTGCGGACAGACAGCGCAGCGACTTCTCCTCCAAATAATTGCGCCAAGATTCGAAATTCGATGAGGCCTAACTGCGCCTGCGCAAAATCATGACGTCTGGCGATGGAGCAGGGCAGGATTACTCCGTCCAAGAGGAAACAGACTCCATAATATTGTTACGTCACTTCTGGTCCTCAGCAGGATGTGAAATAGAAATAGATTTGGAAACCATAGAGTAACGTGTCCCGGTCTGTTTTCTTCTGGGAGTGTAAGACTATACCGACGGCGAGTCTTTTTCTGTGCAATCGCCCGGCGTGGAACTCAATTCGATGTCATTGAGCTACATTCCCCGCCAATGGCGGTTTTCAGACGGGAGCCAGACGTCTTCCACTCACGCAAAGCGGCCAAGAAATCGAAACCGACGGAACAACTGGGAACTGCGCATGCGCCCTGGCCGTCCCGCTAGCTTCAGGCGCGCTTCGGCTGCGGTGTTGCGAGAGGAGGGCGGGTGGGGGGCAGCGTCCGCGCTTGGCGTTTTTCCTCACAACGGTCATTTCGACAGAATCTTTGAGAGACGACGTTCTGCTTCCAAGTAAGGGCGCGAAGGACGGCAGCCTTTTCAAGCATCGGAGACTGCCCCGGGGGGCAACCCCGAAACCCCTCGCCGTGCCCGAAAGGGCTTGGGAACGGGATTGGCTTGGGGGCTGGATCCAAGCGGGCCGGAGTATAACGGGGTGGGCTCTAAGGGGGCTCCGTCCTAATCCCGTGGCACTTCGCTCCCGGCATTTCTCACCTGGTGTTAGGACGGCGAGGCTAGAGGTCAGCCCTCCCGCTGTGCTCCCTGCAGAGTCGCTCTGCCCACCCTAGCCACGCAGGACGGGGGAGAGGCATTGCCTGCCGCGGGTCGCCTTTGCAGGAGCTTCAGGCGAGGGAAGGGGATGCGAGGACGGGTAGGGAGCGGGGGCTTTCCTGGAAATCCTTTGGAGTGCGAGGCTCCCCATCTATGATATGCTGCCAGTGCAGAAGCGAGATCCCTCTCATCCGTGGGAGTGTGATCTGATCCAGATGCATCAGAACTAAACCGAGACCTAACTTTGGGAGTGAAATTAATGAGCCTTGCTTCCACTGCATTTATTAGCCATACAGTTGCGTGCCCTAAGTGCAGCCTGGCGGGATGGAAGTGGAGACCGGCCTTTTTTGTTTTTTTTTGAAAGAATCAAAACGAGCTTTCATCTTTCTTTTCCTTACAAAGGGCATTTTCTTGGCAAGAGAAGAAAGTTATTTAGAGCAATTAAGAAACTATTATAAATTATGAGGATAGGTTTAAAAAGACTTTGGATTCTCCGCCCCTCCTGGTCAAGCCTCTGGAATGCCTTTTTGAGACATTCTGAAGTGGGGATTTCCTAAACTCCTGAAGGACCAGTAGCACGAAAGCAGTATAATATCAAATTTCCACTAGTTCCATTTAGTATAATGGGTGATTATATTTAGGCTATGCCATAATATAGTAAAGCTTCATTTAATTAGTCACTTTTTAATGAGATGGGTGGTGACAAATTTGATATATATATTACATGTATATGACTATCTTAACAGATGGCCACTCCCAACTGAAAATATTGGTAAATGATGGAAGCTAAGCAGGGTTGGGGCTGGTTAATACTTTCATGAGAGACTACTAGGGAGTACTCGTGCTGTAAGACTAGGTAGGCAAATTGAGAAAATATGCAGATCACTTCTGACTGTTGCCCAGAAAACTATATGGACATGTTCATGAAATCATAGAGGAGTCAAATTCAACTTGAAAGAGACTTAACTTTTTATGAGTTTTTCTATATTTACTCTCTATCAATCTTTATTTATTTATTAGATTTAATCATTGTCCTATAGTCAATATTAAGGATGAGGTTCAATAAAAACATAAATCCATATCTTTATAAATCAAACCAAAAGAAACTTAACAGAAGAATTGAAAAGGAAGCTGAAACTAAAAAAAGTATTATACAACAACCCCCCCCCGAAAGAGGCAGAGAAATAAAGCTGCTTTAAACTTTATTAAAATTTAATAAAGAAAATTAAATGAATTAAAAGCCTTTTACAATAGAATAATAACTGATGTGAGAATTTTCATAGCTTAATGACGCTGAAAGTTGCCGGCCAGAAATGGTCGACGCTTCAGCAGTTCGTCTGCTGTACCGTAC